CCCCAAAACCAGCACCAGGACCACAAGTCAAACTCCAAAACCAACACCAGGACCACAAGTCAGACTCCAAAACCAGCACCAGGACCACAAGTCAGACTCCAAAACCAGCACCAGAACCACAAGGTAGACCCCAAAACCAAATACCAGGACCACAAGTCAGACTCCAAAACCAAAGACAAGGACCACAAGTCAGACTCCAAAACCAAAGACAAGGACCACAAGGCAGACCCCAAAACAAAAGACCAGGACCACAAGTCAGACTCCAAAACCAGCACCAGGACCACAAGTCAGACTCCAAAACCAGCACCAGGACCACAAGATAGACCCCAAAACCAGCACCAGGACCACAAGTCAGACTCCAAAACCAGCACCAGGACCACAAGTCAGACTCCAAAACCAACACCAGGACCACAAGATAGACCCCAAAACCAAATACCAGGACCACAAGATAGACCCCAAAACCAGCACCAGGACCACAAGTCAGACTCCAAAACCAACACCAGGACCACAAGTCAGACTCCAAAACCAGCACCAGAACCACAAGGTAGACTCCAAAACCAGCACCAGAACCACAAGTCAGACTCCAAAACCAGCACCAGGACCACAAGTCAGACTCCAAAACCAACACCAGGACCACAAGGTAGACCCCAAAACCACATACCAGGACCACAAGTCAGACTCCAAAACCAAAGACAAGGACCACAAGTCAGACTCCAAAACCAGCACCAGAACCACAAGTCAGACTCCAAAACCAGCACCAGGAACACAAGGTAGACCCCAAAACCGACACCAGAACCACAAGTCAGACTCCAAAACCGACACCAGAACCACAAGTCAGACTCCAAAACCGACACCAGAACCACAAGTCAGACTCCAAAACCAAAGATTAGGACCACAAGGTAGACCCCAAAACCAAATACCAGGACCACAAGTCAGACTCCAAAACCAAAGACAAGGACCACAAGGCAGATCCCAAAACAAAAGACCAGGAACACAAGGCAGACTCCAAAACAAAGACCAGGACTACAATGCAGACCCTAAAACCAAAGACTTGATGGTCTCTTTACTCTGCAGCATCCTGACATCACGACTAGTGCTGCAACAAATCCGCTGAATCTTGTCTCAGAAGGAGCTTTATTGATTGATCTATCAGTTGTCATAAAACTGGAAAATCCCTGTCCCAGTTTCTCCCAGTTCGAGGTCTTGTTTTGTCCGACCAACAGTCCAAAACACAAAGACTTTCAGTTACCTGTGAATCTACGTGGCTTAAATTTACATGTATTCATTTCGCTTTTATCCAAAGCGACTTACAATCACATGTCAGAGGTCGCACGCCTGTCTTGCTCAGGGACACAATGGTGGATGGGTCACAGTGGGGAACTGAACCCGGGTCTCTCCAACCAACAGCAGGCATCTTATCCACTCCACCATCACCACCCGCAATGATGCATTGATTATCTAAAAAGTTGTTTTTCTGTCGATCAGCTGACTAACTGTCTCAGCTCTTGTGTGCCAAAAGATGAAAAATATTAAATGTTCTGTAAAAACTGGCAACATGGAAACAAACCACTTCCTCCAGACAAGGAGGCGTAACTGTCAGATCTGTGGATTTACTTCTCAGAGCAAAATGAATCTGTTTCACATCTACTTATCCAAGGAATTTTCAAATCAGCGAGACTGGAGTTGGCTACTAGACTCAGACTGTTCGTCTGATCCAGGAGGCTTCTTCAGATCTGACTGACTGGCAGGGAGTCCCAGCTGTTTAACCTCTGCGGGTCGCTATGAAGCTGACGGACACCGCTGGTTTGAAGTGTGGGACAGTCGGCCGTCTCTGCTGTCTTCTGTTAGCCTGCTGTTGGACCGGATCCTACAGATCCCGTCTGACCCTGCACTACAGCCCGAACCTGCAAACCCTGTCAGACCTGTTCCAGGTCCAGAGGTCTGACAGCAAACTGCACCTACAGGTTTAAACTGGGAGTGACGGACAAAGGAAGGACAGGGTCCTACATAGACAGGTCAGGTCACGTTACAGAAGCAGCTACGCATCATTAAAGGTTTCCTTTTTGGTCACATCACACACAGTGTAAGCCCCGCCCACCTTAGCCCACCAGGTGGACAGCATGAAGTACGTGTTGACGTTGTCCTCTCCGAACTGCTGGGCCACGTAAAGTCCCAGAGACCCGTACGAGTCGTAGATGTTCCTCTTGGTGAGGTCGGACAGGACGGCGTGAGCGCTGTTCAGCTCCTTAAACTTCTCCGCCGCCTCCGGGTTGTCCGGGTTCTTATCCGGGTGGTACCGCAGCGCCAGCTTCCTGAAACCACACACGCTTCAGTGTTAACGCACGCCGCTGCTGGTCAGAGCAGACTGATCACCTGGTGCAGGTGAGTGGGCGGGGCTGCGGTGGGCTCACCTGTAGGACTTCCTGATGTCGTCATGGCTGCAGCCTTTCTCCAGAGCCAGGATCTGATACAGAGACTCTCCAGAGGTGGACAAAGTTCGCTGCCTCCCGTCAGACATCCTGACACCATCACCTGTCGCAGGTGCACACAGTTTAAAACATTTACAACAAGCAGCACCTAACTCTGAATATTTATGACATTTTGATATTTCATGACCTTGTGACTGATTATTAATTCTAATTAATTAATAATATGTAAATTGTTCAATGTTTTACGTCTGCAACCTTGTTAACTGTGCTGCTGCCTGTCTTGGCCAGGAAACTTTTAACTTTTAGGAGTTTTATTCCTGCTTAAATAAAGATATAGTAAATAATAATAATTATCTAGCATTAAGAGGAGCATCAGAGATGTTCTGACAGAAAACCAACGTTTACATCAACATCCAATCACAAACTGCTAAACTGATCGATCCTAATTAATCAAACGTTCACTGTAATCAAACCCACATTTAATGAATATACACTTTGACCTCTCACACGTATGGAAGCCCAAAGTGTTCCATATCAAATGTTTTTCATCAGTTTTGTTTTCATTCTTACATTTTAAAGTTTATTGCAGACTGTTTTTTTTCTGTACACATCTAACATGTTGTTTATATTTATTTAAACACAGTAATATATTTGCACAATTAATACATGTGATAATTTATTTCATAATTATATTTAACATTAACCCAGCACACTAGACAGACGATGTGAACCTTTGCTCTGTATTGCTATTTATCATTACACCTATGTTAATACTGTAAATATCCACATTTATTATTAGATTTATATATTTTACTTTCTTATATTCTATATATCTGCAACAAAGAATTTCCCCTCAGTAAAGGATTCTGATTCAACATAAACAACACACTTGTTTGATCCATGCCTCCTGACGCATATGAATGTTAACTACCAACATTTATATCTACAGACACGGCGGCTCCTCTTACATGGACGCCACCACGTTGCACTGCCAGGTTTCTACAGTAGCCCAAATGGACAAACTGCTCTACAGAGCGTGTTTCATCACTACGGTGAATATGTACGAGGAAGAAGAACAAGTAAGACTAGTATCAGTAGCAGTAGTGGAAGTTGTCGTCTGGTTTATTAGAAATGTGGACACGTGTTGTTTATCTCAGAGCCGACAGAGCGCGTCGGCCACCGTAGCTTCTCCTGCTCGCCCACAAAGGGAGGGGTGAGCGATGACTGAGCAGCTGGTTGCAGTTCACAACCTTCACCACTAGATGGCACTAAAACTTACACGCTGAACCTTTAAATTAAAGGAGACCTATTATACTGCGTTTGCAGTCCTATCTTGTCGTCTTTAGCAGCTTTGCATGATTCAAAGTTTAAAAAAAGAAATTCTATCTTGTACTGGCTCTTCATGCAGGCCTTCATTTCAGCCTCTGTCTGAAGATGCTTCTGTCTCTTTAAGCCCCCCCCCCCAAAGCCCACTGTCTTCTGATTGGCCATTGTCTTATGCATTTACCAGGTTGCTGCAGGATAGGGTTGTATGTTCCTTTGTGGGCGTGGCCAGCATTCTCTGCCTAGAGGACGCTGCCACAGTAAATAAATACGGGTCAAACAAACGACATATATTGAATTTTTCTGGTGAGGACAGTCTCGAAGATTTAATCTGTGGTCACATGGGACACTGAGCAACAAGCAGAGAAACACGAGCAGCAGCTGAAGCCGCCATCTCACTGTCATAATGCATTCCCCTAACCAGAACCCTAAAACCAAGTCTTAACCCTCACACAGCGTCTCTATCCGTGACGACTTCACATCAGGTCCGTGTGCAGATTCTAACTTCCTGTTTCTGACAATGACTTGACTTAATCACTAACTGAAGGATCCCAGTGGTTCCTGTGTCACTGTGAGCTGCAGCAAAGTGTCCAAGTTAATTACTGAGTGGTTTTATTAATCAATAAAACAAACTGTGGAAACTGTTTACCTCTAAAATAAACTGCCCCCCCTCACCTGTTCAAACTAGAACAAGACCTCAGTGTAGAGTTTCCTGCAGCAGCTGATCTGAACACTGTTCAAACCCACGGAACTTTATTTAACCTGCAGTGAAGATACAAAGAGTCTGGAGGAAATGAAGACATGAAGAATATTTCAGGAACATCAGCTCCAGATGTCTCTGTCCTGTGGAAACCACGCATCTGTCTGCCAAGTTTTATGTTTTCAGATAAACTGAAGTTTACAAAGTATTTTGGAAAAATATCCAACAGTGAGGTCCTTAAAAACCTGTTCAAGTTTTCACTGTCACCGGGCAGAAAACATGATTTCAGCAGTTCCCACAGAGATACGTGTTTTTCTCTGGACACAGGTGAGACGTGATACATATGATGATGTCACACAAGTAGGAAAACTATATTTCTGCCTGTAAAGAAAACAAAGGCTAAATGTGAGTGTTAAAGAGCAGTTTAGTGTTGCAGAGGGAGCTGGTACCTGCCTGTAGAAGCCTCAGAGCGTCCCGACGAAGCGTCTACCTGTGGGCTACCTGTGGGCTACCTGCTCAGGTGTTTGTGCTCCGACCGTGGACAGAGGATCCCTGACAGCCTCCATCAAACATTCAGCAGCCGCCCGGCTCAGGTGACCACGAGCCGCCACGCCTGCTCAGGTTACACTGAGACGCTCTGATGGACGCTTTGTGACGGGGAGGGGAGGACGCCATGACGACCAGGTGAGTCAGGGATGTGGGGGAGGGGCTTGGAGGTGTCAAAATAGATAGATAGATTATAGTAACACAACAGTTGTATTAATAATAATAATACTACACTTACAGTAGTAGTACTGCCAGTACCGGCAGTAACAGTAATAATACTACACTTACAGTAGTAGTACTGCCAGTACCGGCAATAACAGTAATAATACTACACTTACAGTAGTAGTACTGCCAATACCGGCAGTAACAGTAATAATACCACACTTACAGTAGTAGTACTGCCAGTACCGGCAGTAACAGTAATAATACTACACTTACAGTAGTAGTACTGCCAGTACCGGCAGTAACAGTAATAATACTACACTTACAGTAGTAGTACTGCCAATACCGGCAGTAACAGTAATAATACCACACTTACAGTAGTAGTACTGCCAGTACCGGCAGTAACAGTAATAATACTACACTTACAGTAGTAGTACTGCCAGTACCGGCAGTAACAGTAATAATACTACACTTACAGTAGTAGTACTGCCAATACCGGCAGTAACAGTAATAATACCACACTTACAGTAGTAGTACTGCCAGTACCGGCAGTAACAGTAATAATACCACACTTACAGTAGTAGTACTGCCAGTACCGGCAGTAACAGTAATAATACCACACTTACAGTAGTAGTACTGCCAGTACCGGCAGTAACAGTAATAATACCACACTTACAGTAGTAGTACTGCCAGTACCGGCAGTAACAGTAATAATACTACACTTACAGTAGTAGTACTGCCAGTACCGGCAGAAACAGTAATAATACTACAGTTACAGTAGCAGCGTGTCCTGTCTCAGGTAGGAAGTGAGAACAAACGCAGGTGAGTGATGTCGTGTTTCTCTTTATTTGAATCTTCAGGTGTTTTTGTTTTTGACAGTTTGACATTCAGCAGGTGGATTAAAGTGGAATAATAAAGTTTTGAAAGATCAAATCAGGAGCAGGAAGTCAATCAGAGTTCGTAGCAGGCCGTCGTCTGAGGTCATGCTGCTCCTTTAGAACCCTGAACACAAGAACAAAGAGAACAGGAGACGTGGAACGTGATGGACGATAGAGAACAAACGTGTGATATAATGAACGCTGAGCGTGGTCATTACAGAGAAGGAAATACTCACAGCTGATTGGTCCAACAGTGATGGGAAGCTGATTGGGTGAAGCTGCGGACCGAGCCTGTCGTCTGGAACAGTTCTGCAGAGGAAAACAGAAAGAACGTTTATTAACAGACGTTACAGTGTGTTTCACAGCAAAAGAAACAGACACGATTTAATAAAGACACATAAAGACAAATAAAGATCGATGCAGTTCATTTCAGACCTCTGAAACCTTCTAGGGACCCTCTTAAGTTCTGTCAGAACCTTTTTTAAAAGCCTGTAGGACCTCCATGGGAACATTGAGAACCTCACTAAGGACCCCAAAACACATCTACTCTATAACCGCTTAACTTTTTAAATGACCAGTTGGAACCTCTGAAGGACCTGTAGAACCTTAAGAACCTCTAGAACTGCCTAGACGACTTGTGGAACCACCCTAAAACATCTAGAGCCTCTAGAACTTATTGGAGGACTCATGGGAACATCCAAGAGCCTTGTTGAGGACCTTTGAGGACCTTTGAGACACCTATACTTTTTAAGAATTTGTGGGACTGCATGTTTTAACAATCTCTAGAACCTTTAGAACCTTTTTCAGAACCTAGAACCTATGCAATCTATGTAAGAACCCGTAAACCTTTAGAACCTATTTAAGAGCCTGTGGGACCCACTCAAGAACCTCTGGACCCTTTTAAAGAACCTGTGGGATCTCTTCAAGAGCTTCTAGAACTTCTTTAAGGATTGATGGGAACCTCCTCATGACATCGAGAGCATTGTGAGGTCCAATAAGAATACGTTATGAACCTTTAGAACCCATTTAAGAACATGTGAAACCACTCAAGAACCCCAAGTACCTGTGGGAACTTATTAAGTATTATTAAGTAACCACTACCTCTTTATGAACTCATGAAACCCTCTTAAAGATATCTAAAATATAATTAATGACCTGAGGAGAACCTTTGTAACTTGTTTTTGAAAAGCGCTCTACAAATAAAGATTATTATATATTATTATTATTATTAAGATCCCCTAAATCCTCTTTAGGGTCTGTGCCTCTTAAAAACACCTATAACATCTTTTAGAACCCATGGAACCAGAATCTGACCCTGGACCCTCCTTGAAGACCCTGCAGATCTTCAGCACAGTTCGGACAGTTGACCGTTGACTGGTCTGTGTTCTGTAAAGGAGAACCTGGGTTCCTGTGTGTAGAACAGGACCACCTGCGGTTCACTCACGGGGCTGCAGGGGGCGCTGTCCCGGTCACACAGGCTGATCCTGCAGTGCAGATAAACGTTC